TAATGGAGGGGACAGATTGTTAGAGGGGGAGAGATGTTAGAGTGGGGAGGTGTTAGAGGTAAGATGATGTAGAGTGGGAGAGATGGAGAGGAAGAGAGAGAGAGAGAGATAGGTAGAGAGTATATGGTAGAGAGTGAGATAATAGGTAAAGAGTGAGAGAGGTAGAGATAAGGTCCTACTTAGGGTAGAAAGAGGGGGGGAGAGGAGAAAGGTTCAGATGGTCAGTTCACAGGACGGTGTTAAATTCCTGTGTATGTGTGTTTGCGTGTGTACTACAGCTTACAATGCTTTTTCCGTGTGTGTGTATGTTGTATGGTGTTAATGTGTAATGTGTTGTGTGTGTGGTATGTGTGTGTGTGTGTGTGTGTGTGTGTTGGGGTTGTGTGTGTGTGTGTGTGTGTGTGTGTTGTGTGTACTCACCTATTTGTGGTTGCAGGGGTCGAGTCCATAGCTCCTGGCCCCCGCTCTTCACCGGTTGCTACTAGGCCCTCTCTCTCCCCAACTCCATGAGCTTTTATCAAACCTCGTCTTAAAACTGTGTAGGGTTCCCTGCTCCACGTACGTCATTTTCTGGCTATTCCACTGCCCCTTACAACTCTATGACTGAAGAAATACTTCCTACTATCTCTCTGACTCATTTGTGTCTTCAACTTCCAATTGTGGCCTCTTGTTTCTGGTGTCCCCTCCCTGGAACATCCTTCCTTGTCCACCTGTCTATACCACGCAGTATTTTATATGTGTGTGTGTTGTGTGTTGGTTGTGTGTTGTGTGTGTGTGTGTGAGTGTGTGGGGGGGGTGTGTGTGTGTGGTGTGGTGTGTGTGGTGTGTGTGTGAGTGTGTATGTTTGTATTAATATTGTGTGTGTAATGTGTATTTGTGTGTGTGCGGTGTGTGTGTGTTGGTGTGTTGTGTGTGTGTGAGTGTGCGTGTGTGTGTGTGTGTGTGTGTGTGTTGGTGTGTGGTGTGGTGTGTGTGTGTGTGTGTGTGTGTGCCCCCACTTCTAAGTATTCATACGTGCTAATAAATACCGGTAGATGGTGATAAGTAGAGGTTGAAATACCAGTTATCTGCACACTTTCACCTTCATGAACCCATAGACGTAAGGGGAAAGTTGGAGTTTGATTCTGTAATACAGTCTATATCATTCAAAAGTTTTACAAAGACAACTAGTTAAGGAGATCGGTCTAAATGTATCAGGCTGTTGGGGCTTAGGGATAGGCACAATGAGACTATTGGTCCAGGAAGTAGGAAGAACTCCCTCAATGTAACTGAGATTATACAGTGCCAACAAAGGGTTCTGAGAATATAGGTTATACCATCCTCTCCAGGAGCAGTTGATCGACCTTTAGTTAATGCATTAATAAATTCATACTCGGTGAAGAGGCAATCATTCTCATTAATATTTTGGCTCATAAAATTAATCAGTTTCAACAGTTCTTCAGAAGTACTCTCTAAATTTGTTTTAATATGAGATGGAAGTTTTCATGCTGGATGTTTAGACCTTTCATTTATGAGGTCATTTCTTCTTCAAGAGGAAAGGATGAACAACATTGCCAGTCTTTTTCCTTGTTATTTTATTTATACCTTTCCAAGCCAAACTTAAAGGGGTGGACCTATTTAATCCACTAACAAATTGTTCCCATTCCTGTTACCTAAGTTCTTGCTTTCTATTCCTTGTATTTGTTAGTGCAGCTTAGAACGTTCTAAGCAGGTCTGGGGTTCTACATTCATGGTATACTTTACCAATCCTCCTAGCTGGCAATATAAACACAAATGCAGTATAATGTGATCCTTTATTGACTACGTTTCGCCCACACAGTGGGCTTTTTCAAGTCACAAACAGAACTACCTGGGGTGTATGTATAATGTTCGCCAAGACCATAGTCCTGGCACGGGTCCCAATCTTGCGATGACCCGTCTCTGGCTCCCGATGGAGAAAGGTTTCCACAATGATGCGACGCATGCCGCTCAAGCGCCCCTCTGGTCAGTTCAACTGGTGCATCTCATAAGCGACACCATATGTAACTATGGACACTAGCGAGGAGGAGGATATGTCATTATTACAGGTAACAGCTTGTCTGGTTCGTTTTGACCCATGGACACTAGCTGGGCCGCAGTCATCGCTGGGGTCCTCTCGTGGGAATATCACCCCTTAGTATGCCTGCGGAGTGTCCTCAAGTAGCTTCGCACTCTAGTAGATAGTGTGTTTAGGGGCCGCTGGACAACGTGCTGACAGAACTGGCACATCTCCTCCTCAGCCTTGTCAACCATTCATCTTGGCTGTGGAAAGCCCAAACGAACCGATGGATGGCGTACAATGCGCCTCTGACCAGCTTCTATCATATGGAGGGGTTTCTCCCTGAGTCCGCTGCTCGTACCACTGTTGAGATGGGGTATCACCCTAAGACCTCCCCACATAAGTTTCGGTGGCTCTGGCATCCACCAGTTTGTCTGGTCGTAGCGATAGGACAGTAATCCCAACATGTGGATAGTCTGTTGTGTCCTTGCTGCATCATCTGCCGCCTCATTCCCCGATGCCAGCATGGCTGGGGATCCAGTTTCATGTCGATCTATACCCTGAACTCTAAGGCTGTCATTATGCTCAGGATCGATGTGAGAGTGAATCATTATCCTGTGTTGAGGATGGGAGAGGGCATTGATTGGCAGAGGTGGCAATCAACATGTATTACAGGTTCCGGAGTCGAGTCGTAGGGCTATGACAATGGCCTGCTGAATCGGCACCAGCTTCAGCTGAAGGATCGTGCAGTGGTAGGGAGACGCCATCCTTTAGGGGGGGGGGGGGTGTGTGACCATTGTGTTACAGTCCAGCTGCTGCTCTCTTCCTAATCAGGGTCGACAGAACCATCTGTGAACTACATTAGCACATGTGCCCTCCCTCTGCCAGTGCCATGCTTTGTCTCAGCATGATTGCTGAGGTGTCTCACTGCAGAGACACTTAAAGATGGGCAGCTAGCAATGATGAAAACAGCAGGATCGGGCGCAGGAGGTGGTGGATGTACCCAGCAACAGAGGTCACAACTCTTCTCGACAGAGCCGCTGTACAGGCAGCAGCTTCCGCCCAGCAGCACAAACGAACCGAACTCCATGAGTAGTCCCGTGAAGAGATTTGGGATCTTGTGACATGGTTTTAGTTGTTGTTAATATCCGTCTCCTTAGTGGTACCTTGCTGCCGGTGCAGAATCGTGGCCACTTTGCAGGCGTTATGTATCTTACTCTGTCAGCCAAGGAAGGAAGCGGCTCAGATCTGAGACATACTGTGTTTGGTCAGTATGGGGCACCAACATAGTCTATCGCCTGGTTTTGTACTACCTCACCCTTTGCCTGCACTGCGGGAAGAGATGAACTAAGCGTGCTCTGTAGTCAATGAGCGAGTCGTATAGCTTTTATATAGTACAAGCGAAGTACATCTTTTGCTTGCCCCTGCACGGTGCCTCGTCATGGCTCTCATGGCGTTTGAGTCTGAGTAAAGCACGTGACCTGACATACTCGCCTGTTTTCTGAAAGGTCAGCTTTTATCAATGTAATTCCAAGTACAGGTAGGAGCCTGTCCACTCAAGTTCTATATCCTGAATACGTAATCTATTCATAGGATCTGGCCCTTAACATCATTGCAAAGAGATTTTCTCGGCCCGAGACTTGAGGCCTAGTTCCTGCAAGACTGCGTAATTAGGTCCAAAGCTCTCTAGCCTGTCGATCTAAATTGCCTTTACCCATCACTACTAGTGCAAGATCATCACATAGGCTGGAGCTGTGTACCACTATAAAGGGATGGCTCACGAGTTCCTGCATATGGATGTTTAAACAGTATGACTGAGCACACGCTCCTTGTGGCGTACCGTGTTCCCAGGTTTTAAAGGAAGAGTAGTGGTCTCCTTGAAAGCTACACAGCCTGCATGCCCCTGAAGGTAGGACTCTATCCAGGCCAGGAGGCGTCCTTTTGAATTCCCTTCCCGAGCAAGTATTGCCAGAATTGCTGTGGGGCTGGACCAGCTCAAATGTCATCTCTGCAGGTGTAACTAATTTCTAGGTTTTTTGTTGCTCTCAGCAATCTGGCTTAGTAGAGGTTATGCACTCTGCTGTTTCCCCACTCCTTTGGTGAAGCCAAATATGTGATGAGAGAGGTCCAAGTTTCCAATAGGAGGCGGGTTAACACCATCCTCCAGCAGTCTGCTAAGCAGCTGTCAACGTATATGGGTCTCATACTGGCCTGGGTCCTTGCTTTTGGAATTGGTACGATTGTAGCTTTCTTTCCAAGCTGGCTGGAGGTGTCCTGGCACTCCACGACTGTTAATAACGTCAGTATGTCCCCCATCCACTCTGCCCAGCCCGTGCAATTCATGGAGTAACGTCACACCATCGATTGCCCGGGCAGTGTCACCTGTGTTCTTAATGGCACGTCGGAGTTCCAAGTCCGTGAGGTCTACATCAGTCACATCTTCCGACTCACATGCAGCTTGTATCGTTAGCTGGCGCTGTGGCAGAAGATCCGTCTGGGGTGGAAGGAACGCGAGTATTTATAGTCCGGCTGAGGTCAGGTGAAGAATGCTGCATGTGTTAGAGTGCGTAGCTGCGGGTCATTATAGTATTTACATTGATTTTTGTTGTCATTTATAGTGGAAGGTTTGTTTTCTTTTCCTGCCCACTTGATCAGTAATTACAGGCAACTAGATCATCATTGAATTTTTGTGTGCGAGCCTGTTAAAAAGAAGTAACTTTTATATTCTGTTTTGGTTGTAGCTTTGTTACTGTCTCGCATATACCATAATTGGTTTTGATTTAAAAATACCTGTAATTTCTAATTTCATTATGAAAAAGGCCTCCACTGCTCGTGGGTACAGGTCTCCACCAGCCCTGAGCCATCCCTTGTTTGGATCAAACCTAATTACCTTCTATTCCCTGGGACCCATAAAGGTCCTGCAGTACCTGAAAAACAGAGGGTAATAAATAAAATTTTTAATTTGACGGTGAGGCTAACCTACCCTTGAGGTTCAGGAAAGCTGAGCCTGGTTCGGAGAGGCTGGATAGCTCCCTGAGGATGGTGAGCACCCAGGGTGTAGGCCACCAGTGCGCGACGCACAGCAGGCAACAGCTGATCCCACGTCAACACACTCTGCACCTCTTCCTCACTAATCCATCTCACCCATTCAGGCATGGGATCTTGCCCTTCACAAACTTTGGATGAAGTCATATCTTGCTAGTCTGTTAAAAGATGCAGTATCAAAATTTCAATTTCGGTATTGTATGTATAATACAGTATAGTACCAGTTACAGCCAGGAGCTGTGAGTCGACCTCTGCAGCCACATATAGGTGAATGCAAACACAATCTAGTAGCGTCCAACAAAGAGGTCGGGCCAGGAGCTGTGAATCGACCCCTGCAACCACAACTAGGCGAGTACACACAACTAGCCAAGCACATAAGGAAACTAGAGAAAGTGCAAAGGTTTGCAACAAGACTAGTCCCGGAGCTAAGGGGTATATCCTACGAAGAGAGGTTAAGGGAAATCGACCTGACGACACTGAACGACAGGAGTGATAACGACATAAAATACTGAGAGGACTCGGCAAGGTGGACAGACAAGAATGTTCCAGAATGGACACATAACATGTCACAGTTGGAAGTTGAAGACTCAGATGAGTCACAAGGATGTTAGGAGGTATTCAGAGTTGTCAGGAAGTGGAATAGTCTGGGAAGTGATGTATTGGAGGCAAGATCTATGCGTAACTTTAAGAAGAGGTATGATAAAGGTCATGGAGTGGGAAGAGTGACCGAGTAGCGGCCAGTGAAGAGGCAGGGCCAGGAGTTGTGAATCGACCCCTGCAACCACAACTAGGCGAGTTCGACTAGGTGAGTACACATCTATCCAAACAGGGCAACTACCTTAGGTATAGAAGACAGCAAATGTAGTCCCAATTTTTAAAAAGGAAAGACGTGAAGCATTAAACTACAGACCAGTGTTACTGACATGTATAGTATGCAAGGTCATGGAGAAGACTATCAGAAGAGTGGTGGAGCACCTAGAAAGGAACAAGCTTATCAGCGACAGCCAGCACGGTTTCAGGGATGGGAAATCCTGTATCACAAACCTATTGGAGTTCTATGACAGGGTGACAGCAGTAAGACAGAGAGGTAGGTAGACTGCATTTTCTTGGGCTGTAAGGTGTTTGACACAGTTCCACATAAGAGATTAATTAGTGCAAAAGCTGGATGGAGGACCAGCCAGGATAACAGGTAAGGCATCACAATGATCGGTCAGATATCTGTCAGGAAGACAACTGCAAGTCATAGTACATGGTAAATGGGGGGGATTTTTCTTGGGGGGGGTCAGAGTGGGCGCCTGTAATGAGCTGGGTTCCACAGGGATCAGTCCTAGGACCAGCAGGGCTGGATTTATAAAGGGTAAAGGAGGCAACTGCCCCGGGTCCCCTTGCCAGAGTGATCCCCAACTGAAGGACTCCTCTATACACAAAATGTGAAAATAAATTTAGCTAATAAAAGGAATTAACTGTGTGGGGGTATCATTTAAAATAGAAAGCAAGGGGCCCCCCACCCATCTCCCTTTACCTGAGTTTACCTGGAGAGAGTTTCGGGGTCACGCCCCCGCGGCCGCGGTCCTGGTGACCAAGCTCCTGGTGGATCAGCGCCCTTATCAACCAGTGCTGTTGCTGCTGGCGCACGCATACCAACGTACGAGCCACAGCCCGGCTGATCCAGACTGACCGTTTAGTGGCTTGTCCAGTGCCAGCTTGAGACTGTCCAGGGGTCTGTTTGGTAATCCCCTTATGTGTGCTGGTTGGCAGTTGAACAGTCCCTCGGCCCCTGACACTTTATTGTATACTCTTAACGTGCTTAGTGACCCCCTGCTTTTCATTGGGGGATGGTGCATCGTCCCTGCCCAATCTTTGCTTTCGTAGTGAAGTGATTTCGTGTGCAAGTTTCGGTACTATCCCTCTAGGTTTTTCCAGGGTGTAATATAATCAGTATCTCTCCCTCCGCGTTCCAGGGAATACATGATTAAAACACTGTTAGAGTCAGTTAGAGGTAAATGACCAGACCATGAGGTCAGAGGTGACCATGGTGCACACACAATGCACTTTTGCTTTTGTGTCGTGTGTGTGTGCAGGCGAGGTAGCTATTGCATGAATGGCTTTTGATTGGTGCTATGTCGATCTCAGAAGGGCAATTACCTGGTTAGTGTCCAGTGTAAGAGTCAATGACCAAAGAATCGGTGGCCTGTGGGCATTGTGATGTGTCAGTGTGTGTTCATCACTGCGTTATAGTGCTAGCAATGGTGTGGGGCAGTGGTGTCCATGTTTTAGATTTGTGTGTTGCTCACAAAGGTTTGCAAATATTTTTGCAATTACAATTTACACCACGTGGCTTGCACGCGCGCACGCCCACACACACACACACACACACACACAGCACACACACACACACACACACACACACACACACACACACACACACACCACACACACATACACACACACACACACACACACACCTCGACACTCACGCTCACACTCACACACAACGACTCACACACACACACACACACACTCCACACTCACACCACACTCACACATCACACACCACACACACACACACAACACATCACACACACACACACCACAACAACACACACACACGCGCGCGCGCACACAGAGCTCAGGGGAATGTCCTATGATGAAAGGTGTGGAAGGAAATCGGACTGTGCACTGGAGGACAATACAAGATACTGTGGGGAATAATAAAGTGGACAGACAGGATGTTCCAGAGAGTACACAGAAACAAGGGTCCACAACATGGAAAGCTGAAGACTCAGACGAGTCCCAGGGATGTTAGGAAGTAATTTTGCGGGTAGGACTGAGCACACCCCTTGTGGCTTTCCTTTTTTCCGGTTTTAAAGGAAGAGTGTGCCCCGAAAGCTGCACAGGCCGCCTCCCCAAGGTAGGACTCTATCCAGGCCAGGGGCTCCTTTTTTTTCCCTCCGAGCTGTTTTCCCGAATTGCTGTGGGGCGGGCCCCGCTCAAATCCCTTTCTCAAGTCGGGTGACGACGATACTAGTTTTTTTTGCTATCACAATCGGCTTATAGATGGTTATGCACTTGCGTTCCCACTCCTTTGGGTGAACCCAAAATATGGATGATGAAGGGCCAAGTTTCCATAGAGGGGGTTTAACCCCATCCTTTCACACCCTTTGGGCTAAGCAGCTGGTCACGAAAAGGTCTCATACTGCCGGGGCCCTTTGGGGCTTTGGAATTGGACATTGTACTTTTTTTCCAAGCTGGGATGTCCTGGCCCTCCACGACTTGTTAATGACGTCAGTAGGGCCCCCTCCACTCTGCCCCAGCCCTGCAATCAGGGAGTACGTCCACCATCGACCCCCGGGGCAGTGTCACCTGTTCTTAATGGCACGTCGGATTTTCCAAGTCCGTGGGCTACATCAGTCACATCTTCCGACTCACATGCAGCTTTATCGTTAGCTGGCGCTGGGGCAGAAGATCCGCTGGGGGGGAAAGGAAACGCGATATTTATAGTCCGGTGGGGGGCCCCCCCCCCGGGGGAAGAATGCTGCATTTTTAGAGTGCGTACTGGGGGTCTAAGATTTACTTGATTTTTTTTGTCATTTAAGGGAAGTTTGTTTTCTTTTCCTCCCCCACTTGTCATAATTACAGGCAACTAGATCATCTTTGAATTTTTGTGTGCGAGCCTTTTAAAAAGAAGTAACTTTTTTTCGGGGAGCTTTGTTACTTCTCCAATCCATAATTGGTTTTGATTTAAAAAAAAACCTGTAATTTTTCAATTTAAAATTATAAAAAGGCCTCCACTGCTCGGGGTACAGGCTCCACCACCCTGAGCCACCCCTTGTTTGGATAAAACCAAATTTTACCTTCTTTTCCCGGGGAACCCAAAAAGGCCTGCAGTCCCTGAAAAACAGAGGTAATAAAAAAAATTTTTAATTTTGACGGTGAGGCAACCTACCCTTTGAGTTCGGGAAAGCGACCTGGTTTGGGGAGCTGATACTCCCCGAGGATGGTGAGCACCCAGGGGGTAGGCCACCAGTGCGCGACGCACAGCAGGAACAGCTGACCCACTCAAAACCTCTCACCCTCCTCACAATCCATCTCACCCATTCAGGCATGGATCTGGCCCTTTCACAAACTTTTGGGTAATCAAATTTGCTAGTCTGTTAAAAATCATATCAAAATTTTCCCAATTTTGTGTATTGTATGTATAATACAGTAAACCATTACACCAGGACTTTTGAGCGACCTCTGCACCAATATAGGGAAGCAAACACAACTAGTACGTCCAACAAAAAGGTCGGGCCAGGGGCTTGAATCGACCCCTGCAACCACCAGGCAGTACACACAACAGCCAAGCACATAAGGAAAACTAAGAAAGTGCAAAGGGTTTTCAACAAACTAGCCCCGGGGCTAAGGGTATTCCTCGAAAAGAGGGTTTAAAGGGGAAAACGACCTGACACACTGAACGACAGGAGTGATAACGACATAAAAACGAAGGACTCGGCAAAGGGGGACAGCAAAATGTTCCAGAGAGGGGCCAATAACATGGGGTCACAGTTGGAATTGAAGACTCAGATGAGTCAAAGGGGGTTTGGGGGTATTCAGGTTTCAGGAAGTGGAATACCAAGCAAGTTGACGTAGTTGGAGGCAGGAGCCATACCATAGCTTAAAGGATGAGGTATGACAAATCTTCAGGAAGTAGAAAGAGGACCTAGTAGCGATCAGTGAAGAGGCGGGGCCAGGAGCTGAGTCTCGACCCTTGCAACCACAATTAGGTGAGTTCAATTAGGTGAGTACACAGGGCAACATGGGTTTAGAACAGTCGCTCCTGTCCCTGTCTCAACTATTGGTCACTACGACAAAGTCCTAGATGCACTAGAGGACAAATATAATGCAGATGTAATATATACAGACTTTGCAAAAGCCTTCGAGAAGTGTGGCCATGGCGTAATAGCGCACAAAATGCGTGCTAAATGAATAACATGAAAAGTTGGCAATGATCCTATAATTTCCTCACAACTGAACACAAAGAGTAGTAGTCAACAGAGTAATAGTCCGAGGTCAGCTACGGTGAAAAGCTCTGTCGCACCAAGGCACATTACTTTATCAGCCCCATCTAGTTTCTCATTCCGTATATCTGACATAGACAAGAGTAGCCAAGGGACCA